ATTATGTCTTATTAGCTGTCTCAGTAACAACTTTGCAGCAGGCTGTATTTTATATAAAAAACATGCAAAATCTTGGAGTTTGTTATAAATATCAATTTAAAAAGAGTTATGAGTGGTAGACATCCAACCAAAATGATTGCATATGCCCTTTGCTACCAGAGAGAATTTCAAACATGACTTTTAATAAACAACATTTAGGTGAATCTCCCTCTTTTTGCTGTCATACAGCTAGCTGCTCAGCAGTGGGGGGAGCTACATCCAAAGAACACACCACACTTCCTTTAATAGGATTTCTGTCATCTCAATAAGGGGAAATCTTAACCACAGGAAATGTATGACATGAACATCTTGAGGTTTTGACACCCATTATTTTTAAACACCTTAAAGCCAGGACGTGAGCTATAACTAAATATGTGGATACAGTCAAGCCTGAAATAGCAGAGCTTCTAAAATTATTTATCACACCTTTACCCATTTGCATATTTTACACAATATATTTGTACCATTTATATTTCTGCTGAAGGGAGTTGGTGAGTGAGTGAATGTGTGTTTAAGCATGTGCATATGTGCTGTAGCAAAGCGCCTCCACATATTTCAACCATGACAGAAGCTTTGTCCCCGAGCCGAGGATGGAGATGAACTTCCTAGCCCTTCTGTTCTCTTTGCGGCCTCTTTGCCTCTCTCTCCTTCTATCCATCTCTGTCAGAACAGCACATCCATTGTCCGTGGGGTTGCTCTGCCTTTTCATAAGGTCAGGGGGAGCTACAGGTAGCGGAAAGGACAAGATTAATCACTTCATCTTGGACTTGCCAAGAAGGGACATTAGAGATGGGATCAATGAATTTCAAGAGAAAAAAGGGATTCAGGAGAGATAGGAAGAAGAAAAACGCAAAGTAAACAGAAAGATGGACACAAAGAAGGGGGGAGTTGGGTATTTTAGTTGTGGTCACTGATCCGTTCAGTAAAAAGATGAAGGAAAGCCGAGCGTGGAAATAAAAAGGTGGTCAAGTGTGAATAACTAAATGCAAGTTTGCTTGTCCCAGGTCCTCGTCCACTTATTGTGTGGTTCTATCTTTGGTATTCTGCCTCAATGTGTAATGTCTCATCAGTATGTGTCCAAATGCAGATGCGGGTGTGCTGTCCCTCATATCAGGGAGGCGCTCACACTCCTTTTTGTGTTGGTTCTTGTATGTTCTCTACAGGTTGATCTGTTGAAACATTGAACTTCGTGATCTGTTCAGCTAACGGCTTCCATAAGCCATAGTTTCAAAGCTACACACGACCTGTAGCCACCTTCTCTAATGCTTTCTGAACAACCAGACATCCAACCGAGCACCGGAGGTCACACGTGTGTGGGGAGTCCAGGGCTCTCCTGCAGATGTTGCTTTGACTAATAACCACCAAAGTGTTGGAGCTTGCATCATTGTGCCATTACGGATGTTTTCATCAGAAATACCTGAGCACAAATGTGTTGCTGCAGTTATGAGAACGCATGAAGGTTGGAAGGATTTCATCAGATCAATGCTGTGTGAGGGGTTGCACATCTTATACACTTCAAAGAGTTTTTAATGCAAGTGTGTGTGTGTGTGTGTGTGTGTGTGTGTGTGTGTGTGTGCTTCTATCTGAGTCAGTGGACAGCTGCAGTGCACAGGCCCTACCTGTGTGTGTGGTTGGCTGAAAGCCACTTTTTTCTGCCTGCTTACATAAATACAGGTGCTGGCCAGTAAATTAGAATATCATCAAAAGGTTGAAAATATTTCAGTAATTCCATTCAAAACGTGAAACTTGTACATTATATTCATGCAATGCACACAGACCAATGTATTTCCAATGTTCATTACATTTAAATTTGATATTTATAGGTGACAACCAATGAAAACATCAAATCTGGTATCTCAGAAAATTAGAATATTCTAAAGGCCAATGAAAAAATGTTTGTTTCTCTAATGTTGGCCAACTGAAAAGAATGAACATGAAAAGAATGTGCATGTATAGCACTCAATACTTAGTCGGGGCTCCTTTTGCCTCAATAACTGCAGTAATGCGGCGTGGCATGGACTCGATCAGTCTGTGGCACTGCTCAGGTGTTATGAGAGCCCAGGTTGCTCTGATAGTCGTCTTCAGCTCCTCTGCATTGTTGGGTCTAGCGTATTGCATCCTCCGCTTCACAATACCCCATAGATTTTCTATGGGGTTAAGGTCAGGCGAGTTTGCTGGCCAATCAAGGACAGGGATACCATGGTCCTTGAACCAGGTGCTGGTGGTTTTGGCACTGTGTGCAGGTGCCAAGTCCTGTTGAAAGGTGAAGTCTGCATCCCCATAAAGTTGGTCAGCAGCAGGAAGCATGAAGTGCTCTAAAACTTCCTGGTAGACGGCTGCATTGACCCTGGACCTCAGGAAACAGAGTGGGCCAACACCGGCAGATGACATGGCACCCCACACCATCACTGACGGTGGAAACTTTACACTGGACCTCATGCAACGTGGATTCTGTGCTTCTCCGCTCTTCCTCCAGACTCTGGGTCCTTGATTTCCAAAGGAAATGCAGAACTTGCTTTCATCAGAAAACATAACTTTGGACCACTCAGCATCAGTCCAGTCCTTTTTGTCCTTGGCCCAGGCGAGACGCTTCTTGCGCTGTTTCTTGTTCAAGAGTGGCTTGACACACGGAATGCGACACCTGAATCCCATGTCTTTCATGAGTCTCCTCGTGGTGGTTCTTGAAGCGCTGACTCCAGCTGCAGTCCACTCTTTGTGGATCTCCCCCACATTTTTGAATGGGTTTGTCGTCACAATTCTCTGCAGGGTGCGGTTATCCCTAGAGCTTGTACACTTTTTTCTACCACATTTTTTCCGTCCCTTCGCCTGTCTGTTAATGTGCTTGGACACAGAGCTCTGCGAACAGCCAGCTTCTTTAGCAATCACCTTTTGTGTCTTGCCCTCCTTGTGCAAGGTGTCAATGATTGTCTTTTGGACAGCTGTTAAGTCAGAAGTCTTCCCCATGATTGTGGTGCCTTCAAAACAAGACTGAGGGACCTTTTAAAGGCCTTTGCAGGTGTTTTGAGTAAATCAGCTGATTAGAGTGGCAGCAGGTGTCTTCTATATTCAGCCTTTTCAGAATATTCTAATTTTTTGAGATACCAAATTTGGAGTTTTCATTAGTTGTCACTTATGAATATCAAATTTAAATGTAATGAACATTGGAAATACATTGGTCTGTGTGCATTGCATGAATATAATGTACAAGTTTCACGTTTTGAATGGAATTACTGAAATATTTTCAACCTTTTGATGATATTCTAATTTACTGGCCAGCACCTGTAAATGCCAGCAGGGTCCATTCACTTCTAAAACACTCACCAATGTTCTCAGAGCTCTTCATGACATCTGCTTTCCAGCAGTTTTTTGGTCAACATTTCATGTGAACCGTTGACCAGGTTTGTATGTCCTTAAAGTGCATAAATGCACACTCACTTGTTGTTTTGTAGAAACGTGCGTGTTTTCATAGGCTGTGTGTTCTCAGACGCACATATACTGGCTCAAATGAACACATTCAGTTGCACATACACACACCATATCTGAGAGCGGGCTCAGACTTGCCCAGGTTTACTCAGTAGTGCTTGTGGGCCTTTGATATACCTGACCCTTTTATTTTGTTGTTTCTATATTTCTCTATATGACAAGTGGTGTGCAACTGATTAGATGGAATAATACACCCTAAAGGTGAGAGACAAGCAGAAAAGGAGGGGAGATGGGATATGGCTCTTGTCCCAACACATTCCAGTGGTGGAATTCTAATCTTCTGAGGCTTCATGCATTTAAACAGCCTGATTAGTAACAGTCTAACCGGCGCTTTCCCTGCTGGGGTGAAGCAGAAATTAAGCGCTTAGGTACAGCTGTCACTTTGTTTGTTTTTTCAGTGCCTCTAAAGGAAGATGCTCTCAGAGGGAAAAGCTTTGATCGTGGACTGAAACAAAACATTCATAAGTAAACCCACACATAGTAAAGGTATGATGTGAAGTGGCTGCAGACCAATGACAGAACTCCAGAATGTCCAGAATTATTCAACAAAAGCAGAGTTGTGTCCGGTCTGTTTAAGGGCACTCATGTGCAATTTTTGGGTAAACCTTATGAGTACCAATAGGTCCCAATTAGCCTTCAACAAAGTGGCCTTCATTTTTGCTTAGATGCGTCAGGGCTTTGGAGACGAGGTACACGTTGACATGACATCACTCAATTATTGCAGATTTGTCAAACATCTGTGATGTGGATGGATCCCTCGTTTCATCATATCTCAAAGGTTCTGGACTGGATTGGGATCTGGAGACTGGGGAGGCCATTAGAGTCCAGTGAACTCATGGTCATGTTCTAGAGACCAGTGAGAGATGATCTGAGCTTTGTGACATGGTGCATGATCCGGCTGGAAGTAGCCATCTGGAGATGGGTCCATGTGGTCATAAAGGGATGGGCATGGTCAGCAAGAATACTCAGGCTGTAGTGTGTAAACCTGGCTTAGGTGGAACTTATGGGCCATTCCCATCTGTACCGGGTCGGCCCGGGCCGGGTAGCGTAGGTTGTTTACATATCTGGGTGGCCTGGTATACTCTTCTCGAGGGGGTCTGCTTCAGGCCGACCAGGGCCAACACACCCACTGCTGACAGCAAATTCACACCTTCCATTAGAGCAAGCCTCTGATTGGTGGGTAGAATCAGCCCACATGGGCTTAAGTCAAGGATGTGTGGAATCAACCGGGCCAGGCTGGGGCCGACTGGGGCTACCCGGCCCGGGCCGACCCGGTACAGATGGGAATGGCCCATAAGATGTCCAACGTGTGACATCCCTCACCTTTACAACACTGTTAGGAGCATAAACCATTGATATAAGGCAGAACTTAGCTTAGACTAAATTCTGACCCTACTGTTCCAATACCATAATTGTGAGTTTTAACTATTCCCCTCTCTCTTATCTCCCCCCACCCCTCTTCTCCATTTCTATTGCAGTGACATATTTGATGCAATGTTCCCAGTCACTCACATTGCAGGGGAAACAGTGATCCAGCAAGGTTAGTAGAACTATTTTCATTTGAATTATTCATGTGTGCTCATCCTTGGGAAATTATAAGCGATTTGCACTTGAAACTGTTGCAGCAGTACGTCATTGCCGGCCTTGCCAAAACTCGATACAGGTGAAGCTCGAAAAAATAGAAGATGTTGCAAAAGTTAATTTATTTCAGTTGAAGCAACAGGGTCAGAGGCCTGACATTACTCTGTTTAAAATCCTTGTTTTATTGAGTTCATGTAATATTCTACTAGTCTGAGGTTTTCATATAAGCTGTAAGCAATACTCACAATTAACAAATAAAAGTTTGAAATAACGGGCTTTGCATGGAATGAGTCTGTCTCATATATTAGTTTCACCTTTTAAGTTGAATTACTGACATAAATGAACTTATTCTAATTTCTCGAGTTTCACCTGGATGTTGTATCCTCTAATGAAGTTTAAACGGCCAACAGCACGTGTGAATTTACGTCTTAATAAGATAATTACGAAGGGATTTACAAGCAGTGTATTTAAGATATTTTATTAAAGACACTCTGATGTAATGACGGACTGAAACCAGTCACCATTCTGGGCTGCATGGTGGCGCAGTTGTTAGCACTGTTGCCTCGCAGCAAGAAGGTTGCAGGTTCGAAACTCGGCTGTGGCCTTTCTGCAGGGAGTTGCGTGTTCTCCCCATGCATGTGTGGGTTTCCTCCGGGTACTCCGGTTTCCCCTACAGATCACAACATGCCCTACAAGTAAAAAATTGTACTTCGCTTTGGATAAAAGCGTCTGCCAAATAAATAAACATAAACATCACCATTCTCACTGATTGTTCATTATGATTTTATTTGTAAGTGTTTCACTGCCGCCCACCATTGTCTCATCCTAAACCAGTCATCAGGCTTCTCTCCTCTGCCTAAACACTTCTGTGTCAACAGACCAGCAGGTCCCCACCATAAAGCTCCAATCAAACACATTTAATCACATACTCGAAGCACTGAAGACATGCAGGACCGCAAATTTCCACTTTCAGATATACTACTTAGTTAACACCTGCACAAATTCATATTATTTACTGCTGAGGAGCTCATTGTTTATTTTGACGTTTATGTTTATTTATTTGGCAGATGCTTTTATCCAAAGCGACTTACAATTTATAACCTGTAGGGCATGTTGTGATCTGTGGGGGAAACCGGAGTACCCGGAGGAAACCCACGCATGCATGGAGAGAACACGCATAAAGGCCGCGGCCAAGTTTCGAACTTGCAACCTTCGTGCTGCGAGGCAACAGTACTAACCACTGCGCCACCATGCAGCCATCATTGAACACACACACATAATATGCATGCGTGCACGTGCACACACACACACACAATATGCATGTGCACGTAGACACACACACACACACACACACACACACACAATATGCATGCGTACACACACACGCACATAATATGCATGCGTACACACACACACACACACACACACAATATGCATGTGCACGTAGACACACACACACACACACACACACACACACACACACAAGGTGAAGAGAAACTGTTGCTGCTTAGACAGCTTCCCACTCCCACCTACTCTTAAAACAGCATCTAGGAGTATATCAGTCCTAATTTGGTGATAATAGGACTAGCTCACTTTTCAGGGCCCCTGGACGCCGACGGGCCATTGTTATACACTACCGAGTGTAGTGGTGTATTGTATATATGTAGTGTAGACAGTACTGATGTCATAGCTAAGGTCTGGATTACTGTACAGCTTCAAGAAACATGCTACTGGCTACTTACCAACTATTTAGACACAGCTTGGAGTTATCACTGAAAGAATGGAGTTGTTGTAAACACCAAAGCAATTCACCCATCATAACATAAAAATTACTATTTCTACATCTGATTTAATCATTGTAAGTGCTAGGTTACTTTGCAGCAACGGCCAAAAGATTGTTTGGACAGACACTATCATTTCTACTGAGGAATTGTGGGTGCGAAACACCTGAGAGGTTGAGGATGTAACCCATGATGTTCTTTTGAGCAAAGCCACAGAACCTTAGCGGTGTGGATGACAATTAGCTTATGTTGAAACAAGACCACATGGATCACACCAGCCTGCATGCACAAATGTGTGTGTGTGTATGTGCTTGCATGCGCACGGGCGTGTGTGTGTGTGTGTGTGTGTGCAGCTTCTGGTTAAATATTTGTCTGCACTCTCAAGCAAAAGACACAAAACAAAAGCCTGGGCACCAAAGTGATAAAAGACAGGAAGAGCAGAAGAAAAGCCAGCCACAGTCAGAGGAAACTGAAAGAGCGACCGATGAGATGAAAGAGAAAGAAGAGAAATGAGCAGAGGGCCAGGTTGCAGCAGGTTGGGAGTGAATTTGTGTGCATGACTTTCTGAGCCCTTTGCTGGGACAGACCTTCAGACAGACAAGGGGTGTTTTGTGTGACGATTAGAGCTGTATGATTAACGAGCCCTCCACTCTACTCGGTATTAATTAGGCGTGTGAACTCTTGTGAACTTTACTTGCAGGGTGCTCTCAGCTTTTCAACTCTTCGGGTGAAAACACACAAAACAAAAATGCACACAAAGTCCCACCCTGACTCGGTACCCACTCGATGCTTTAGGCTTTTGAGTCATTTTGATAAGCCGCTTGTGCCTGTATGGAGCAGCATTTATGCTTCATTCTGCGGTGGGAGATCCATGTGTGTGGCTGTCACTTCTTTTAACGATTCCCTCTGAGCCCCATGTAAGTGATAGCATATTTAAAGGAACACTCTATTTTTTTGCCTTATCTCCAGACTTGATGCTTTTCAAATACATCAGTCAACCATATCCCTTCACTTTGAAAGCAGCACGTGTGATTTAGAGAGCAGGTTAGATGCTGGCTCTACATTATATTTCCATAATATAAAGAGACATTTGTATATTTCTCTGATTTTACTGAAGAATTGTGGCTCTTCATGTTGAAGCAGATGTGTTTCCGAGTTTCTAAACCTGTAACGAGCACGGCTGCTTCTGCAGCTTTCTCCTGTTATTGGCTCCCACTGGCATGTTTTGTTCTGCGGGAATCACTTTTGATTCTTGGTTAAGACTCTGTTTATCAAAACAATCCCACGGTCATACATTTTAAATAGACATTATTGAATATTTTGGGCAGTCTGCATAGAGTTGGGTTCGAAGTATTTCTCATACTCTGATCTTCTTTTATAATAAATCAATTAACATCCAGAATTCCAGTTAGGAGGGAATGAACTTTAATAGGAAATAACATTTAAACATTTTATTTAGTTGTAAATGTTGCTTTTTTTGTTTTTTTAAGCTCCCGTGTTTTTCTTCCTCTCCCCTCTTCAGGCGATGAAGGAGACAACTTCTATGTGATTGACCAAGGTGAAGTGGACGTAAGTGGCTGGCACACACAGGAACATTTCTTACCACACCTTAAACAAACTGGGAAGTAAAGTAATTCTGATTACAGCAGTTAAATTTATCTTGGTAAAAAATATATATATTTTAGTTTTTAGTTCAGATCTTGGTCAGAAACCCTTCCTTAGTCGTGGTCAGATAATACTGCACACACGAGCTGGTTATTGAACAGCCTCCATGTTGGGTCCTCCTCCTCTGGTTCCAGCTCAATGAAAGTATGAACTTGGTGCTTTACAGGAGAGCGCTCTACGAGGCTCTCAAACTGAGATCTATTGTCCTAGCGAGCCTGACACCGAGCGATGGACTTAAGTGGAGAGATAAAACGGGAGCTGATGGAAAGTTAAACAGGAAGTGACCTTATCAGCCAAGCGCAGTGAGACAGAAACCGTGGGTGAGAGGAGAGGCTCAGGTTGGCTGAGACTGCCAATGTCTTTGCCCCATACTAAAAGCAGAGGCAGCCATGTTGAGATGGTGCCTTGATAGGAAGAACAACCAACTCTGAATCTGCATTGTTTCAGACGGTGGCTTGTTGATGTGATTAGATAAGTGGTCTGAACTCCGCCTTCATGCGAGAGGGAAACAGGGCATGGTTTTCCACAAGGGGGGTTAGTTTTTGCATTCGAGCCTGCAGTTTATTTAGACAGAAGATAAGAAGTTTGGTATCTAGAAATTACGCTATTGCCCTGTTATCTCTCTGAACAGGAACTAGTTCAGTGCTAAAAATAGTCCTCCTCTAACTTTGACAATGTCCCAATAAGGCAGCAAACACAACTGATAAAGGTGTCTGTTAAATCAAAGCGACATTTATTTTACCGCTAATCAAACAGCTTTTTACATGCAACTTTCTATTCGATGGACGGCTAGAGGCGCGCTGTCTCGCAGCTGCGGCGTGACTTAATTACTCCTTCAGTGTGTTAAATCAGACAGATCTGCTCAGAGCTGCCATCAGCGAATGTGTTCCCACATTTTTTATATTTTTTTGCCCTGCACCCAGATTGTGGGAAGACTATCCTCCAAGCTCAGCCGTCGCCAAACCGCATGCTCTTCTGTGTCTCCTTCACGTCACCCTGCCATCCCTTCTACCGTCCCCACAGACAGTGGCTGCCTCCCAGCCACAGCCCATGCACTAAACGTCTTCGAGATCAGTGCCGAGGTTATTAAAGTGTGGAGATGTCTCTCATTATACAGGGGTGTAAATCTGCCAGCGTCCCATAAATGGCCTGAAAGCTGCTACTAATGTAAACACCCCTCCGTGTCATCTATTCACTCAAAGACAGTGTGTGTGTGTGAGTGTGTGTGTGTGCGTGCGTGCGTGTGTGTGTGTGTGTGTGTGTGTGTGTGTGTGTGTGAGAGGGCTGCATACGCAGTTACAGCCTTTAGTAAAGAACAACAAGCTACAGATGCTTTTATACTTCAGTCATTAATAAATATGAGCAACATTTATGGGATAATTCACTTAAGTAGTTTTATTTTACCAAGTCATTATTTTATAATAGTAGGCTTCTATTTTTATTATTTCGAGTGGCCAAGACATTTTGCATGTACTCACACTTAAACAGCCGACAGACATGCCCGGAGAAACAAACTGAATAAACCACAAATACCCTGCCTCCTCATCCTCATTCACTCACACACACACACACACACACACACACACACACACACACACACACACACACACACACACACACTCACACACACACACACACACACACACACACACACACACACACACACACACAACTCGCTGCTCGTTTATAGGTGCAGAACATTCAGCGACAGCTGCAACACATCACACACGTTGCCAGTGACCTGATTTATTTCTCTCTTTCTCTATAGAGCCGTCAGTCTGACTCCTTTAGTAGCACCAATTATGTTGGTAAAGCTTAAGCTCTGCTCTTGCTTCTGGGTGGGTAGTTTTTTTCTGAGGGAGGAAGAACATCCCAAGAGCTGAATAAAGTATTTGTGAAAAACTCTATAAGTTTGCATAGAAAACTAAACAAAAACAGCCCCAAACACTGTAATAGAAACTGTAGTAGTACCACCTGTGTGTGCACTGATGTAACGCTTTTGCAACATCCGTATAATTGTTCTTCTGGGCTTGACGTAACCATAGTCAGCACTTTTCACCACTTTGAAGCTGTTCCAGCCTTTAGTGAAGGATGAGTCCCCTGTGATTTACTCAGAATCTGAATTATGCCTTCCAATAAGTCGGTTAATTCACAGCAGCCAGCGGACAGAAAAAATACCATTTCCCTTCTTCTGTTTCTCTTTCCCGTTTCTCTCTGTATTATTAAATCAACAAGATAGTAGATAATGTGTTGACAGTTGAAACCGTAACGGCCCTAGAGACAACCTCACTGAGCTTGTATTGTCTGTGGAGCTTTGCTGCCCTAAATACGGCTCAGTGTGTGTGTGTGTGTGTGTGTGTGTGTGTGTGTGTGTGTGTGTGTACCACATCTTACTAACCTCCTTCCCCTAAAAAGGACAAGACAAAAGAAATGAAAGCCATTGATGGAGAGTTAGGGGGATATCAGGCCTTTTAGAGGATTTCATTCGAGGGCTTAGAGCAGATCAATTTCTCAGGGAGAATCCTTCTGAACTAATCAAACAGCCCGAAACTGAGAACAGTCTCAGGAGGGACAACAGGGGTCCACCCTGCAATTATCGTCATCCTTTTGAAGCCTTTAATCTGATGTAAGACCCTGTCCATTACTCTGTTTGTTCTTATCTCTACAGGTGTATGTGAATGGTGAGTGGGTCACCAATATAGGGGAAGGAGGGAGTTTTGGAGAGCTGGCCCTCATCTATGGGACTCCGAGAGCTGCCACCGTAAAGGCCAAGACTGACCTGAAGCTGTGGGGCATCGACCGAGACAGCTACCGACGCATTCTCATGGTACGAATTTAATCATTTTATTATTGTATTAATCCAACCTGGTTAGATTTAACCCCATCCACTTCTATTATGTGCACAATAGAAAAGTTATAAAAGTTATGAACAGTCTTCAGGAAACTTAGCAGTAGACACATAATCTACGTATGATATATGTGCACACATTAAATACTACAGTAGGCCCTCTCTGTGTAATATTTTCTCCCACTCAAGCACTTAAACCTCCTTAAACACGTTTCTTAGTATTTAACATGAAACATAGTCTTCCATGCACAACCTCAGAGGTCCAGCCTCTCCCTAATCTCTCCTCAGATAAAAGCGAGGGGTGAGGTAAAATCAGCCGTGGGTGTGTGAGGGCTGTAAAGGCGAGAAAGGGTTCGTTCTGGTGTCTGTACATGAACTTCCTGCTCCAGGAGCTTATCCAGTTGGAATGTCTAAATGTTTAAAGTGGAAACACAAGGTGCTCTGGCCTGGCTGTCACACTCACATGCACTCACACACATATTTTGGGTGCTGTTAGTTATTGCGCGTCTGGATGTATCTGTGTGAGATTCCTCAGCTAAATGCTTTCTGAACTATTCATAACACCTGTGTAAGCATAAATAAATTAGACTCCAATTAACCTTTCTAGTTCCCGTCTGTAGCTAAATGTCGTCGCTGCCAGCAGACGGAGTTCAGAGAGGGAAGAAGGTGCTTCTTAAATCTTTTGGCTGGCTGCAAGGTTGGCAGGAGTCTGCCTAGCTCTCCTGTCACCTCTGAAGCACATAGTTAAACCGATGGTCCAGTCTGCCCGGGTAACCTTTCTCTTAGAGGATTCTCACTCTGCAGCTCCTCATTCCTTCGCTCCTTCCAGCAGCAGCAGGAGGTGAGGAGGGGTGAAACAAAATTCAATTACACAAACCTGTAGTTAATTATTGCTGTCAATGATTCGTAGAGCTGTCTTTACAAAGTGTGGTATTCTGGCAATGCCTTTAGCCAGCACAATGAGCATTTGCTCTTTGTGTCGGTGCTTGTGTGTTTCTCACTGAAAATGATGCCGATTCCTTGTGTCTGCAGCTAGTTAGTCATAAGCTTGAGAGATGCTGTGCAGCAGCTGCCTTTTCCAGGGTCAGGCCTTTTATCAGCCTTTAAATGACACCTTATGTGTCACACAAGCAGTTTTAAACTTACATTTATTCAACAACTGTACATTTAGGAGCTTTACTTGCTGCATAAACATTACAACTGTACACTCAGCTTGTCAATGCTGCCCACATAAGCAAGCTTCTTTATGGAGCGTTGGTGTTAAACTCAGTCTTGGTGTAGTGATGGCACTACATTTCTACTAAAACATGGATGTGTAAGCCTCTTATTTCCTATAACCCTAAACCTATAAATTACTTCCTGAAGGACAGGAAGCAGCAACTGAGGCTGGGGAGGAATGTCTCTGGCCTGTGGACCATCAGCACCGGTTCCCCTCAGTGCTGTGTTCTCCCTGTACACCAACGGCTGCACCTCCAACCACGAGTCTGTCGAGCTAATCAAGCTTACCGCCACCGTCACTGGACTCATCTCTGACGGGGATGAGTCTGCCTACAGAACGGAGGTCGAACAGCTGGTTTCCTGGTGCAGCCACAACAACCTGGTGCTAAACACCCAGAAGACAGCGGAGGTTGTTGTGGACTTTAGGAAGCACACACACCCCCTACCCCCATAACCCTGTCTGATACTCCCTTCACAATAGTGGACTCGTGTCGCTTCCTGGGCACCACCTTCACCCAGGACCTCAAGTGGGAGCCCACCATCACCTCCATCATGAAAAACGGCCAGCCGAGGATGAACTTCCTGAGGCAGCTGAAGAAATTTAACCTGCCAGTACAGTCGATGAGGCAGTTCTACACCGCAGTCCTCTTCAATCACCATGTGGTACACTGGAGCTACCATCAGGGAAATGAAGAGGCTGCAGCATGTTGTACACTCTGCTGAGAAGGTCATTGACTGCAAACTTCCCTCCATACAGGACCTGTACACTTCCAGGACATTGAGGCGTGCAGGTCGGGTCACAGCAGACCCGTGTCACCCTGGACTCGGTCTCTTTGACTCGCTCCCATCTGGCAGGTGGCTCTGATCCATTCAGACCAGAACCTCTCGCCACAAGAACAGTTTCTTCCCCTCTGCTGTTGGTCTCATGAACAACAGTCATTGAACTGCCCACTCTAGTTGCTTTGATTCAGTCACATGACCCTGTGTTGTGTTTGCACCTGAAGGGATCCACTCTGACCAGTACCTACACTGACTCGTATATATGCTTCTCTAATTATTGCCACTTTATATTATTATCATTTCTTTGTGTGCATTACCTGATTTTAATTTTAGCTCATCATTTATTTTGTCTTGCACCAAGTGCAGCAGCAATTTCCTGCTGGTGTGATTCTCTCTCTTAGGCCTAGTCCACACGTAGCCGTTTTTTTTTAAACGAATATCCGCCCCTCCAAAAACTTGCATCCACACCACCTCGTTTAAAAAAAAAACTGTCCAC